GATTTCCCATTGCCAAATTAAATTTTCAATTTGCGTCGGAGACGTTTTGGCTGCAACTTGAATTACTTTGTTATTTGTGCCGGGAATACACACTCGTAATTGCTTTGCATAGCCTCTGAGTTTTTGACTTTTGGACACTTCCTGGCCGCAGCATTTGTTGCATTATTCGGGTTTTAATTAAATAAAAGCGCGTGACTTTAATTGCGACAGTATTCCATGCAAAAGAAGGTTCGTTGACCAGGCCAAAAAAAAAGGAGGTCGTTGGAGGGGAAACCCGCTGACAGCAGCTTCAGTAAGTATTTTGATTAATTAACGAGCGACGGCCTTTGGGGGCGATAGGCATTGGGGCTCCTATCTCAGGACACCATGACACGCGCTTTTCTCCGAGCATTCACAGGACTTCATCTTCGGTGGAGCTGCTTAGTTAGCTCTTTTTCCCACCAGGAAGGTCCTTTTTCCCAAGAATCGCCGGATTGGGCGTGATCCCTGATGGGCGAACTATAAACTTGAATTTGCATTTTTTCCTGCCAGCTATATTTGTTATAGAATTTGCCAAGACGCCTTCAATACAAATTATTTGTGGGCGGAGGTCCTAAAAGTATTTTTATACCCGTAGATAATCTGCCCAAATAAGCTTATAGCGGTCATAAAAACTCAGTTTGGAATTTGGAAGTTCCTTTTTCCTTCCTTGGAATTTGTTTTTTACTCGTAGATAATCTCGCGAATGGTGTTTTTTCTGTGGGCATAATAATGCTGTTTTACATTTTAAATTTATTTTTCTTTCTTAGCTATTTGAACTTTAGTAATCAATTTTAGTATAATTTTGAGCCTATCCACCCACAATTGTTCTGGTAATGACATTTTGCTATTAATTTATATTAGATTAATCTAATAAGGTTCTTTAACCTGTTTGGTAATTAATTAAAAAAAAGTTTATTCTGTTGTAATTAAATTTGCTGTTTCAAAAGTTCATAAAGGCCAGATAATATAGTTACTCATTGATTAAGAGCAAAAATGATTAAGGAATTAAATACAAATTTCTCATAGTATATATCATATTTCGGATAATATTGTTACTGGAGTTTACCAAGCTCTCTCGTAGTTACTCATTGATTAAGAGCAAAAATGATTAAGGAATTAAATACAAATTTCTCATAAATACTAAGATTGATTCATATTAAAAGACCATCGCTGGTTTATAGCCCAGACTCGGCATCTCTGCCATCGTTTTCGAATTCGCCTGGGAGTTGCGGTTGTGGCGTTTTCTATTTTCTGCATTTGCGTCTAATTAAGTCAAGTTCAAAATTCTACTTAGCACAGAACGCGTTGCTCTCACAGCAGTTAGCGATGTATGTGCCCCGCATAATTTATACATACAGCCCACTCCTGATGTCTACTATATATAACATATATACTATATATACGCCTGATGATGGAGAGACCTCGGGGCGCTGTGGTTAAGCGTTCGTGGCATTTGGTTTTCATTAGCCAACTAGTAGAACCCATCAGCTAAGTGATTTAACTGTTGAATATTTGCGAATGCCGAATGCTTTGAGGTTAGTCCCTAGTCCCTTGGCATCTTCTTGAGGGCCCGAACTAAATGGATATTTATTATTACACCCCGCAAAACAATTACTTGCAGTGCATACCTGGAATACGCATAAATAATAATAATTTCCCAGCAGAACTCGGGGCTTTCCTCCTTTATTTTTCCCCTTCCCGGTTAATTAACACCCTCCAGCCACTTCAGAGATTACTTTTGCGCAGGTTTCAGCAGTTTTCCGGGGGCAAAGGCATAATTTATTTATAATTGACTTAATAGACCTGGGCATTCCTTCACCCGACATTCGAATTAATTACTTTCACCGACTTATGACACCTTTTCGAGATGGTCAGAATAAGGAAAATAAAGGAAAGGGTAGAAAGCAACAATAGATATCAATTTTCAGGGCCTTGTCATACGGGTTCTGTTGCCAAATATCAATCAAATGGCTAAGTGTGTTGCCACATTCGGGAAACTTGACAGACAGGCAGACGGATGGATAGATAGACGGGGTTAAGAGTATTTATAAAATATTGTACAAACTCATAAAAGATGGGTATTGTTTTGCAACTCGATGCTTGGGCTCTTCTACTTAAATTTAGAAGGCAGCCAAAATGGCAACGGCAAATGGCTCAGCTGCCCACGCCAGGTGTCAAGGCAACACGTCGTATACGCAATTCTTTTGGCCTGGGCTTTTCTTTTGTCTGATTGGCTGGCGAAAACAAACAAACGCATGTCTATGGCTTTAGACTTCTTCTTCAGTCTTGGCTTAGCACGCGCCCTTCAAATTCTGCCCCCCATTTCATTCATAATAATGTCTGGGCTGGCTATCCGATAAGAAAGTCAAACTTTAAACTTTAAACATATCATGGACCTCGGCAGCTTAATCTCGTGTGGCAAATGTTTTGACGCAATTTCGCCCCAAACACATTTTCCCTTTACATACACTTGTCTAACTTTTGGCCAAAAAATATATAAATAAGAAGATAGGTTTATGGGGCAGGACTGGAGCAGCTGACATTCCCTCACCGAAGTCGAAAGTCTGGCGGCGTCTTCATTGTTTCGCAAACTGTTTTACAGGTGCTACAAATTTGAATATAAATACACAAGCAGCCAGCGAGCATGCTGTGTGTAATAATAAAATAAAATGCCATTCAATGGCGTCAGGGCACTGTGGTGATACTTTTCGGGCTTTAAAGTCAAGGCAAGGAAAATTAAATTAAATTTTGACTAATTTAATTAGAGAAGTCAACATGAAAGAAGAATAAATGGTAGTACCTTGTAGGCCTCGAAAGTTAATATTGTCTTTACAGAATATATGTTTTGAGATAAGATAATAATAAATATTTGGATAATAAAAAAAACTAAAAGTTCAAAGGCTTTCAAATATCACCCAAAATAAGTAAAATACTTATATTTGAACATCCCTGAACATCTTATACACCACCCAATGTAAATATTATTTAATATTATATCATAGCTTTATGGGGATATACAAAAAATGGAAAAATGTTCAAATTTTATACACCTCATAATGTAAGCATTTTAATATTTGTATCTTTGCCTAATGAAAGAATATGAAAAATAATAATCAGTACATTTTAGTTATAATAAAGTAGTAACAAAACTTTCAAAAACTAGTTATGTTTTCCTCGTACAAATTCAATGTAGTAACCTTTCCAGATAGTCTAAACCCTTTAACCATTTAATTTGGTATTTACCAAGAACTTTGGCCCCATGGGCCACAGTGCCTGGCAGCCACGTTGAAAAGACGAGTCGGCATTTTTGGCCAACGGGGATCATTCCGAGGGGCCGCAAAAGTTGTAGACACACACTCACCGTGGCCACTTTCCCATTTCCTCGCTGGCTGCAACTTTTCAATTTGCTCGCCCCGACTATTTACAATTTGGGGGAAAACAAAACAAAACGAGGCGAGACACGGGTGGAAAATATTTGGAGCCCTAATATCCAGTTTCGCCTACCAATTCGAATTTGCCTGTGCCTCGTAGACAGTTTTCCAGCACGACGTGCGACTATGTCTGTCATTTAGATTTGAATTTAGTGGCTACTTAAGAGACTGGGGCGTCTTAAGTGGATTTTCATCGTCTGAACGTTGAGATCCGACAATGGTTTTCAAATTGTCAATTAGTCTGCGCTCGGAGCAATCAAAGTATCGAATGGGAACCGAGTGCAAGCATAATGAAAATAATATCCAACCCAACATATATTCTGGTTCCCCGACTCAATCCCTCTGACAATTATCCTTTGGACACGCGTCACGCTCCATAAAATTGAAATGAAATACTAAACTCGGGTCGTTATGACGCTGATTGCCATGAACTGCAAGTGCATACGGGGAATTGCAACGTCCGAGCCATAAACATAAGGCGGAAAAGGGGAAAAAATGGCCAAGATGGCCAGCAGGGGGACAAAGAAGAAGTGACCTAATAAAGTTTGTGCCGTTTGTCGCTGCCATATTTTTCGCTGTGAAATCAATTTTTCATTTTGAGCCAGCATGACGACGCCACTTTCCCGATTTTCCCCGAAGCCAGGACAATATATGCTCGCAATTGTCATAGAGGACATTGAAAGTGACTCCGGAGCAGACAGTGTAATGGTTTATATAATGCCCAAAAGTCCAAAACTGCACAGCAACATAACATAAATATGCTGCAAGTGGCTCGAAAAGAACAAAAGCCAGATGCTTTCGACTTTTATGACTCATACGCGCCGTTGCACAGAGTTCGCCGAAAAACAAAGTGCATCAGCACAAAGACAAAAGAAAGTCGGTCCTTTGCCAAGTTGGCAACTGAGATTTGCTAGACGCAAAGGATCCGAATCTGAATGCGAATCTCGAGCTGCGACCTTAAAGGCTTAATACCAAGTCCCTTAATTCTAAACACCCTGCTATGTTGAGATAAATTATATTTGTTTGAGATTAAACAGAAATATTTTGTTTTGAACTTGGTTGAAAGTACTTATGTACCTTAAAGTGAGAGTTTACCACATAATCACACGGTATTTTGTAAGAAAGTTAAAACCCAAGCAGGCTGTCTATAATTTTGTTGAAAGTGTTTATATACAAAGGTATACGAAAAATGTTTGTGTATTTTAAAGACTCACCACTTTAATAGTGAGATGTGTTTATATATTTTGAAAGGTGTTATGCAGAAAACCCTTTCCTTTTTTACATATTTGTTAATGTATAATATTAATTGTTTTAATGTCTGGTATTGTATAAGGTGTTATGTCAAACAATTATTTGTTTTAATGAGATGAGGATTTGGTGTAAATGTGTGGTGTTCCTCTTCAGTCATCAGATCACAGGGTATCCATCCCAATTAGTCTCCTAGCTTCTGGTTCTGCATGGCATTCTCCAGACTGGATGAGATGGGGATTTGGTGTAAATGTGTGGTTATTCCTCTTCAGTCATCAGATCACAGGGCTTCCATCCCAATTAGTCTTCCAGCTTCTGGTTCTCCATGGCATTCTCAAGACTGGAAACGTCCTCGCTTTCCTCGAAGTCATACTCGGACCATTTGTAGATTCCCTCCTTCATCTGACGCTCGATATCGGCGTACTCCAGTTCTATCAAAGCCACCGGCTGGAAGGGATTGATCCTCCGGCGGGATCCGTCGATGATGGAGTTCACCTCATCGAAGCGACGCAATAGGTGCATCAGCTTGCCGCGGGTAGCCTCGAACTTGGACTTCACCGGGTCTGTCCGGGGATACGAAGGGGATTTGGGTTCCGGGGCTTTTGGCCGGAAGGCGGGCTTACGCTTGTAGTGGCGCAATATTAGGGCAGGTCCATTGCGATTCAGTTGGCTCAGCCACATCCAGGGGTGGTCCTTCTTCCACGGGGGCAGCGACATCTTTTCTATCCAGTTGAGAAATTGTTCCGACTCCAAACGCTCGACTTTTCCTTTGACAACTGCTGTCAGTCAATAAATAATGTGACCCTTGTATGTAAAAATACCACTTTCTTTTTTATGAAAGCCCACTTGGATCAATCTGAAATTTATGAACTACAGTATGACAGTAAAAAGTACGGAGTAGACCTCTTAAACTGCTCACTTTTCTCAGAACCCCCCAATTCAACTTCATTGTTGATCAGCTCGATGTCGCTATATCGCAATCCTCTTGAACGCTTCTCTGATTTTCACAATCACATTGAATGCAGCTCGACGGCTTTAGCGCCAAATTCTGACAAAAGATGCCAATGGCAGTATTTTAAGTCGATTCGAGCGCCAAAAAAGTGTTGGCTCAACTGACAGCTTACTCAAAATATGTCAATCAAATTCAGCTTTCGCTCTGCCCTTTCACATCCTCTTGCCAAGGCCAACGCAAATATAAAGCATCAGATTTGGGACCATAGAGTGAGGTGTTCTACCGACTAGACACTTTTCTGGCTCTTTTGCATGCAAATTAAATGCGCATTATCAGCAGCCCTTAAACTTAAATACCAAGACCAACTTATGCAAAGCTCAAATGGGTTGATTTGCCGGTTGAAAATACTTCAAAGCTCCTTGAGCCATTTACATATGTAAATATTAAACATAAAAGACTGAGCTTATGGGATTTTCTACTGGCCATCGTCGGGTTTTTAGAGTGATTACTTATATAATTTCTTCTGTGATGCTACTTGCGTAAGTTTGATTGGTAGCAGATTAGGAAAATATTAAAAAAATATTTTGGCATTTAAATGTGAAAATTTTAATTGGCTTAATTTATTTATAGCCATATGGCACTTTCTTAACATTAGACTAACTGCTGGGTTCTCAGGCCTTTTTTAGGTTGCCATAAATTTTTTAAATAAATCCAGTCAGTCGACATTTAAGAAAAGATGTCAAACAAAATAGGACAACGTTTTCCCTATAGAACTTAACAAATAGATCGAATCGGTTGGGAAATTACAACGTCCTCTGATGCTAATGGTAAATTTACAAAGGCCAAAACGGCGACATGTGGTGTCACTCATCTTCCTCCCCCTCCACAAACCTCTCTGAATCCCCCGGAAAATGGCCACTATCCCGCTGAGCAGCTGTTCTCGACCAAATTGAATGTGTCAGGTGATCAGATGAGTAGAGTGGCGACCCAGACGGGTGTTTTTAATATAAATCATTGGCCAAATAGTTGCGTGCTCGCATTAGTGGGCCAAATACCTGGCTGCCACGAGCAAAAGTTTTTCGCATTTTAAAGGAGAATTTATTTGCGAATTTCGGGCACGTCGTTCGGCGTTCTACGTTCGAGGGCCCCCCGCAAAGTTGCGGCTAATCAATTTAAAGTTGCACCCAAGGAGCGACGAACATGGACAGATGGATCCCAGATCCCAGATCCCAGACGCAGGCACATATGCATGCATAAATTTCCGAGAGGAGAGGCCAAAGTTCAGGAGTCCCTTTGTTTGCCACGGGCAAACGTGACACTGCCATTTGGGCTTTAAATGTCTATTGTTGGCTGCTAATTGTTCGAATTCCTGTCCAGAGGGTCAAATCGCATGCTAGCCTTTACTATACAATTAGGAACACGTTCTCGGGGTTCACTTGACACGAGCTTGGTGTCAGAAATTATTCCAAGCCAATGAACGCAGCGAAGTCACTCAGATAGAAGGGGTTTACAACTGTGCTGATTAAATATCAATTATAAATTTTAATTCTGCTATAATTAATTTACGATTTTCGAAATACCTAAATCTAATAGGGAAGTGGAAAATATATGGAACCTTTTTAAGTTCTGACCTTTTTTATACCAAAGCCAAGGATATCTAAAATCTACCCCAATCCTTATTTTTTCCCTGTTTTTTACAACAAAGCTATTGTAACAATTTTTTAAATTATTAAATTAAAATAAGGTATACAGGCACATGACTAGTTGCATTTTAAATGATATAGCCTCTTTCTAATGGTGTGCTTTATCCAACAAGAGCTTTATCCAACAAGGAAGCGGCAATAAATGTTGGGATAATTGCGCACAGTATCATTCCCCTGGTGTTATCCTACAAGCCATAACTAATTTCTAAGGAATCAGGATACCTGCCGTATGTACACACTTACACCCTACCCCAATGCCAAGTCACCCCCGGCGTATGCGCGATATTAATAACAGGCCAACAATCCCGCACCTGCTGTTTGGCTGAAATTTACACACAAAAGCCATGTTAAGTGAGGCAAATATTTCTGCATTTCGCTGGCGAAAGTGCTTAAAGCATTTATTACGCAGCTTTTCCTTTCGGATTTATGGGTTTTTAAGGCCTCTGGGGGAGGTCGGGCCATATATTTTAAGAAATATTTACGCACTTTTAAGCACTCTTTTAATTCTTGCTGTTAATTTTAACTTATTTTCAGGCGATGCCAGACTGAGGCGCAATCATGCTGCACTTAAGGCTATTCGATAGCTCGTTCTACTACGGGCTGGAGTCCTCCGGGGTGGGGTCCACCTCCTCCTCCTCCTCCGGATATGTGTCCCCCTTCCCCGCCACCACGGAGAGGGTGTTCAATGGCAGCCAGGAGGGGGCTGGGGGCGTGGCCATGCCCGACACGGCGGCAGTTAATCTGACATATATCACACCTGCGATATCACACGTGATTCTGGCGCCAACGGCGATACCCACAATGGGCCAGGTCCAGACGACAGTGGCGCCATGTCACGACTTCGACTTGGAAGCGGGCGGCAACTCCACATGCGGCGACCCCGGCGAAGTAGACAATTTAAATTCGTTCTACTTTTATGAGGTGGGTGAGATGATATGCGCCAGCACACACAAACTAATTTATTTATTCGCAATCGAAGACCCAGCTGTAGCGCCAGCAAAATTTTGAATTTTAACATTTGAGCAGTACTACAATAAATGGCAAATTGCAATACATTTTTCATGCCGCAAAATGTGATTTAAGAATCTGAATTCTAGCCACGTTTGGGGGAAGAGATATTAGAGGGTTCCTTTTAAATGCGAATAAAAATGATTTACTTAGTGGAGGTGTTTTTATGGCTGTTGAATATTAATGCAATTTTTATTCAAAGTAGTAATCTTTAGAATTTGTAATAGACATTTTTTGGAAGCTGTTAAATGTCTTTACTCGACTCATAACTTAAACATTTTTGTGTTGTAATAAATACTACATTATTTCTAAGAATTACATTTACCTTTTCACACTTAAAGCTATATTACTTCCTATAATATCGAGAATAAACAATATCAATTCAATTTATTTTTATGAGGTGGGTGCGAAAAAATAGAAACAATATTGGCCACTTATCCATTGTATTTGTTGAGATTGAAAGCCGCAGGTGTATGCTGATATTCACTTTAATCGAGTTACTGCAAAAAATGTTTAAAAATAATTTGTTTACTTAGTCAAAAATGTTTAAAAATACTCATTAAATAGTAAATAATTTAAATATTAAAAATCCACATTGAAAATACATTTTGTGGTTATAGAACAAGGTTTTCCCTGTGCATTTTCCCCTTAAAAATAACTACTTTCTTGCCCAGAAGCTGCAGCAGGATTTTTTTGTATCTCCTTACCGAAATGAAACAAAGGATAACTGCGAGGAAAGGGTCGCAAAGTCACAGCTGGCAAGGCAGCTTGTTGCTTGATGCCATTTTCCATTTCCAACAGTTTTTCCTTTTTGCAATGGAAAAGCAACGAAATGAGCCAACTTCATTTCAAGTCGCAGCATAGAAAAACAATAAAACGCCGAATGTCATTTGGCAGCTGGAAATTAGGAAAATCCAAGAACCAGCGAACGTTTTTATGCCGGGCCGAATGGATTGCATTAAATATGCAAATGGGGGGATGGGCCCAGAACACTCTTTATCAATGAGGGGCAATCAATCAGAGGGCCCGGCAGATCGTGACAACAACTTCGATTAAACTAAACTTCCGTTCGCCGTTCCCTGCCATAAAAATGAACGCCATGAATGTAATGAAATTTCCTTGGCAGGGTATACATAGCGAACCCCATCGCATAAATCACACCATTGTTGGAACGGAAGTAGCCCTCGACCGAGCCAATTTCCAGACAGCCGGGCTTAAACGCGCCAATCACTCAAAAGCAGTGTGCGTGCGTATGTGCGTGCCATAAATTCGGGCTTATTTAAATGAGTCCTCTTTTGCAGGACCTCGGAAAAGCGGAGACTTTAGGATCCGCCGCGCCATATGGCATCTTGGTTGACAAAGAGCGATGCCAAGGGGTTTCATCTCCCTACGCGAGGGAAGGGAAAGCCAAATGTAACAATAACCTCGTGGCGGCAGCTAAGTCTTATTGATTTGTTGTTCGCATAGTTGGAACTGACAATAAAAAATATTATATTCATATTTTGGTACCCAGTTCCCCATTATTTACACAGCTGAACTTGATGGCTGAATACATTCAATTTGAATAAATAAAGATATAAATTGGTTCGCTTATAAAGCTCATGATCTATCATAAATTGACTTTCCTTGGACAAACAAATAATATATTATATGACTTTACTAGTGTTCAATATAGTTTTAAAAGGTCTATAAACAAATTGATTGAATACAAAATAATTAATTATTAAAACCTTTTTCTAAATGATAAACAATTAAGTCAATCCCTAACCAAAACAGAATTGGACTCTATTTTGTTACACCCCTATTAACAAGCTTTTGACAACTGGCAGCAATGAAGGATAAATAAAAATATTTTACTTGGGTCTGATAGACTTCAAAACAAACCTTGCTTTTGGTAATCTGTCACAAAAAAGAACAGATGAAAGCTGTGGCAAAATGCCGGCATAAAAAGGTCGTTGAACTGGCAATATTTTCCTTAAATCCGTGTGCATGGGGGTGCTGTGGAGCCCAGGACCCCGAAAAGGGGTCTCATATGATTTGCAATTCAAATGGCT